GAGGGCACGTCTGTAGGCAGTCAGAGGGGGAATCAGCTGCTGGAGCCAGTGCTTTATTAACTGAAAGCTGCCTTGGGTAAGCCTGTGCCTCGCTGGGAGCGTGCAGAAGGCGTATTTGTATAGAGCAAGGAATAGGCTCCAACTCAATTTCTAGGTACCGCAGATAAAACATGACTGTTTTACTGCCTTTTTTTTTTAAAAAAAAAGGTCCCTCCAAGGCTTTAAGTGCAGCCACTAAAAGCATCGTCTGGCCAGTGGAGCTAATGGGAAGGCTCCGACTGCCCCCGTGGCTCTCGCAGTGTTTCACCGTCACATGCAGGATTGGTGCCGCTGAGGGTCCGGCGTTCTGCCGGTGCAGCAGCGCTGGGGAAATCGGGGTCCTGGCAGTGCAAACCATCACGGTGTCCCTTGCACTGCTGCCTGTTCAGGTCTCCCCCTCCCACCAGGAGGGCCTCTCAGGGAAGCCGGGTGCAGAGCTGGGAGAGGAGAGGCTGCGAACTGCCTCCCTGCCGGGTGACCTGTGACGAGCTGCCCAGGCTCCGCCGGTGGGGAAGGAGCAGGATTGTAACTGCCCTGTCTTGGTTGTTTCCTAGTGGAAGAAGCACTGGTTTGTGCTGACCGACCAGAGCCTGAGATACTACCGGGATTCGGTGGCAGAGGAGGTAAGTGTCTTCCCCATCGGCATTCAACCCATCTCTCTGCACCCAGGGGAGCCTCAGGTGCTCCCAAACTGACCCCGGGCAGGTTGTCTTCCCAGATGCCGAGGTCCTGCAGCATCGCTCTTCAGGGCTTTGTGCTTCTTGAGGACCTGCTGCGTGCCTCCCTGCGAGCCCAGCGCCCTTTGGGGTTGCAAAGCATTAACGGCTTATTTTACCTCTTCCCTCTCCAGGCAGCTGACCTGGATGGAGAAATCGATTTATCTACGTGCTACGATGTTACTGAGTACCCAGTTCAGCGAAACTACGGCTTCCAGATCCACGTAAGGAAAACGTGGGGAGGAGGAAGAGTTCGGCTGCAGGACAGCCGACGGGGCTGCTCATGCTATGCCGCTGCTTGGGGATGCTCGTCTGTGGGAAGGGAAGCGTCTCCCCAGACACCTAAGAGAGGCCACCCGGTGGCCTCCGGTGGCTCTCCTCTCCCCCACGGTGCTCCGGAGAGCTGTGGCCTTGGGTTTGAGAGCCAGTTTTTTGGTTCACAAAAAATGGAGGGGGGAAAGGGAAGGTTTTGTCTCAGCCTTAGGGTCTCAGTTATGGCAAAATTAGCCTGATTGATTGCTGAGAAACGCTAATTCCCATCGTGAGCGTGCTGGGGGATGGAGGGGCTGGGTGCGACCTCCGCGCGGCCGGCGAGCAGTGCCCCAGCACTGGGTGCTTGGGGCTGGGTGCAGGGTGGTATTGGGGGCGTGGGGGGGGGGAAGGTGCTGGTGGGTGCAGTCAGCTGCTCTGAGCCGGTCCTCCTCTCTTCCTAGACGAAGGAAGGGGAGTTCACCCTCTCCGCCATGACGTCGGGCATTCGCCGCAACTGGATCCAGACCATCATGAAGCATGTTCGCCCCACCACTGCTCCCGATGTAACAAGGTAAAGGGGGGAGTTTAGCAGCCCCTGCAATTGTCTGGTTTGCTGTGCAGGAGTAACTCTTCCCTTATCCCCTTTCTTTCATTCCTGAGCCTGTCCGTTCCTGGAAGCTGCGGCTCTTTCTCCCATCCCTCTCTCTGGGCTTAATTTGGATACACTTTGTGGGGATGCTGATATGCCGAGCTACTCTTACGCGTGCAGATTTCAAAGAGGGTTGAAAATGTGGCTTTAATTTGTGCATAGGAATATGAAATACTATCCTATATCAAGGCTCCTCTGGATTCCCACCAGGTATTGTGAAACCACTTGGATTCAGTTGTGCTGGGTTCCCCCTTTCCTCTGGCTACTGTTCAGCACGAGCTGCCCATCCCCTCCGCGGGTCACGGCAGCACGAGCCCAGGGTTCAACTTAGAAGCTGTTTGGCTCTGATATATTTTAAACTCCAGCCAGCAAATCATCTTCCCTCCTCTTTTGATCTTCCAGATAGCTGCCGCAGCTCATTCCCCTTACGCGTTAGTAATGCTCGCGTCTCCTCCTGCCGTCAGTGCCAGAGGAAGGGACCCCCCGCTTCACAGAGTACCTTCTGTGGGCGCTTGCGGCTGCGGGTAAAGGGTGTTTGACCTCCTCACAGCTAACCGCGCCAGCCACACTCGTACGGGCCACCTCTTGCAGGCTTCGTGGACACGGCCACACCATTAACTTCGTCTCCTGTCCTTACCGTAGCTGCAACGAGCAGGTTTTTGCCAGGTTTGTCCCCGCATTGACGGAATGGCTCTTCTCACCCGGTGCTGTTGACCTGGAGATGCTCCAGCCTCTCCTTCCCCATCCCGCTTGGCACTCGGCCACCGTTTCCCAGCCCTGCCCGAGCTCTGGTGGATCTCGCGGGGGTCTCGGGGAAGCCGCCTCTCTCCTCACTCCTGTGTATGTTTGATTTCCATGCAATCCCAGGAAAAACTTCTCTTTGAAACTATCCGTGCTGAAGCCCAGGTTGGAAAACTGTGTTCTCTCCTGTATTAACGTTCTGTGGTTTGTATATCTCGTGATTCACTGCATGCTCCTCCTTTTCTGCACCTCAGATGGGAAGTCCTGCAGTTTCCATTTATTTTCTTTCTTTTCTTTTTTTTTCCCCCCTTTTTTTTTTCTTTAAATAAAAGCCAGAGAGAAGGGAAGAAGCAACCTGGTCTTGACACTTGATTTCCCCACACTGGTATCTTCCGATGTGACTAGATACGAAGATGAAGACCAAGGAAATTTGAGGGGACCTTTCTGCCTTTAAAGAGCCAGATATATTTGTAGCCTAACAGGTTACTGCAGCACGATAGTCCTGTGCTCTGCCTCTGCTCTGAGCCCACGCGAAGTGGTTTGACTTGGCTTACCCCAGTGAGAGGGTCCAAGCGCAGGTACCAGTTGGGCAGTAACTTGTTACGCTGCATAAATAGACCAAGAATCTCCATCTTGAGCTGGGGAAAAGGGAATTACAGGTGCACTTCTGTCGTTTTCCACCAAGCTGGTTTCGGATGGGGTAGAGTCTGGCGTGGGTTAGTCGCGTTGCTGAGTAGCTGTTGCTGTGAGCTGAAAGGCTGTGCCGCGCGTGAAGCGAGGCTGTGTTCACCCGGTGCCAGCTCGCAAGCCCTTTGCCGCGGCGCATAGGTGCGCGGGGTATCCCAGCCCATCCCGCCTGGCTTCAGGCACATCATTAACATCCGCACCTGGGGAGCGGCTTGTGGACGGGGCTGCTGGAAAGCCGAAGGACAGACTGCCAAAGGCTCGTGATGGAGAGGTGGCAAACGTCTGCACAGCGCGGCCGGGGTGCGAGCCGGGATGCTCGGCTGTGCCGGGAGGGCGGCGGTGTTCGCCCCGTCCCCGGGGCCGGTCTGACTCCGCACGCTCCTGCAGCCTTCCGCCGCGTCTCATTAACCCGCTGCCATGTCTCCACCGAGCCAAACACACGTTTTCTTGGTTACTCAAGTCCTAATTACTGTTTATATTGCTGGCTGTGTCAGCAGCCGGGGGCGGGGGGGCAGGGGGCAGGTGCTGCACTGCTCCCTGCCCTCAGCAGTGCCCTGCAATCTGCAGAGGCACTAATTACACTCTGCTAATGATGACCATGCAGATATAAAATACCCACAAGAAAGAAGGTGGCTGCTTCAGTGCTGGGTGCTTTTTCAGCTCCCAGCCCCGGTGAGGCTGAGTTCCCCAGTGCCCCCCCAGTTCCCTGCAGCCTTCACGTGCTTCTTGCACGCTACGGCGGCACGCTCGGCTCACAGCTTGCACCGCTCCCACAGCCACCCATATTAAAAAAAAACACCTTTTTGTTTTGACCTATAAATACCATTGCAAGGCAAAGGACACCCCCCCCCCCCCCTGTGATGTGAATTAATTTGTCTGGGATGGAGGAGATGTGAAATGCTTGAGCAGAATTAATAGCCATGGGGCACTTGCAGGAGATGAAATGAGAAACTTCGGGTCAGTCTTCTGAGTCTCTTAACTCAGTTCCCAGCGGCCGTCCCTCTGCTCCCTGACACGCATCCTATGCCCTTTGGAAAGCAGCAGAGGAGAAATGAGCTCGCGAGAGATGTCACCTCTAGAAATGCCAAGATTCTTCCATGTGGTATTTAGAGCAGCATAATTTCTGTCTCTCAGCAATGCCCGAGGGGCCACAGGACCCCCTTTTTTCCTAGTGCTCTTCTCCATTTTAAGACTCCATCTCATCCCCACTTTACTTATTTAAAATCCAGCTGTAATCACTAACTGACTCCAGATTGAGCGCCTGGCTTTGGAGTCATGCAATATCTTCTAATGGTTGAGGAGCGAGGAGGTTTCATCGTGGTGCCTTTTGGGTTTATTTTATTAGCTGCAAGTGACAGAGCTGAAGAAGGAATTATCGAGCCTGCAACTGCCAGAGTTTCTTGAAACCCAGCTCTACTGAGCCTGTGGTTTGATCGTGGATGAAAGTGCATCGGAAGATACTAGCCCTGGACCCACGCAGAGTCATCTCTTCTGCTCCATTCTTTGTTTTGGGCACATGCACATACATGAGGTTGTTGGCTGCGGGAGCTGGGGTGTGTTACCAAGGCGGGAGGAGAAGCCGTGCTGCTGCTGCTCCCTCCGGGTCATGGCAGTCTTGGTGCATGCGGTCCCGTGGGTCAGAGCCCCGTTAGTGGTGGTTTGCCTGCAGCGAAGGGCCCGGGGAGCTGCTTTCCAGCTCTTCCCACTGTGCTCTTCTAGAAAGCTTGTCGAGGCTGCGCTGGAGGCTGGAGCCCGGGGGGAACGCTGTGGTTGTACTGGAAGTGGGGAGAGCCAGGAGTCAGCCAGAGCAGCAGGGCTGTGCCTCGGGAGGCACCTCGGGGGCTTCTGATACAAAGAGGGTTCAGCAAATGCCTGCCACTCCCTCGGGACGGGCTTCCTCTGCAAACTTAGCATACTGCTATTTTCTTTTTTAATTTTGATCTGCATGTTACAAGGCTGGCATGTCTACGTTTAATAAGCTCATACTGCATTATGGATTATCCGTAGGTTGGAAACGGTATTGCCTTCCGCTATTAACTTTCCCTGCTTGACGAGTATGTCTCCCCTCTCAACCCACCACCCTAGAGGGGCACTAAAAATCATTCCTTGCTTGAGAAATCGGCATTTTCAGTGACTTCCGTGGTGTGTTGAATAACTCTTGCTCTCCTTGCTGCACCGACAACTGCACATAGGGCATGCGGCCCCCGTGCCGGGATGGCTGCCCGTGCTGCCCGCAAGGCTGGTTTCCCCGGGTGAGATCTGTGCCTTCAGTGCAGATAGTGGCACGGAGAAGTTTTCGACCCATTAATACCCCGACTTTGCCAAGCTCGAGGAAAGCCTTCCCCCTGTTACCCAAGACCTCTGGGAGCTGCTCTGTGCTTCTCCGCCCCGCAGCTCTGAAGCCAGGCTGACTTTGGTGGGACTGGTGGCATCCTCCCTGCAAGCACGTGACTATGGCCGCGTCGACCGGCGTGTGTGCATGGAGCCCGGCAGCCGGGGAGGCGGGCAGCAAGCCAGCCGGCGGGTGCCGGAGGAGCTTCCGAAGCCTCTTCCCCGCCTGGCAGGACGGTTCGGGGTTGCTGCCTCGGCCGCGGGCTGCTGCTGGGTCGTGGTTGCCGGCCCTGGGGCGGCTGCTGAGGAGGAGCGAGGTCGGGATCGACCGCTCTCCGGGGGCCGGGGGGTGCCCAGGAGCAGCCGAGGCCGCTTGCACCAAGGCTTTGCACACCAGCGCGACCCCGGGGAAGGGCAGCGGCGGCTCCCGCACCTGAGGGGCGACGGGAGACAGAGGGGCAGGGGGGCACCCACGTGGCATTGGCTTGGGCTTCCAGCAGCCCCTTTCCACCCGGCTCTTCGAGGCATGCGTGGGAGTGCCTGGCCATCTCGAGCACCCACTGACGCTTTCCTTCACCCTCTCTCTGTCCTCGCAGCTCCCTGCCGGAAGAGAAAAGCAAAACAAGCTCTTCCTTCGAGACTGGTCCAAAGCCGAGTGAGAAGCCGGATGCGGAGCAAGCTGAGCTCGACCCGGAGCAGAAGCGGAGCCGTGCCCGGGAGCGCCGGCGAGAAGGACGGTCCAAGACCTTTGACTGGGCCGAATTTCGCCCCATCCAGCAAGCCCTGGCGCAGGAGCGTGCAAACGCTGCAGACTCCTCCAAGAATGGCTCTGCTGCCTTCCCCAGGGATGCCGGTGCTACCGACGCCGACCCAGGAGAGCTGGAGCGGGAGCGGGCCCGGCGGCGGGAGGAGCGGCGCAAGCGCTTCGAGATGATCGATGCCGTGGACGGGGCAGGGTCGGAAGAGGCGCTAAGGATGGAGGTGGACCGCATCCTGCCCGTCCCGGCGGACATCAAACCACAGAACGTCCATGTGGAGATTGAGCAGCGCTGGCACCAGGTGGAGACCACCCCGCTGCGGGAGGAGAAGCAGATCCCCATCGCACCCCTGCACCTCGCCCACGCCGAGGACCGGGACGAGGGGCTGGCGAAGCAGCACTTGACCACGCTGCTGGAGAAGGAGGTAAAGTGGGGTGCGTGGGGCGCAGGCTGCCTGCCGAAATGGCCTTCAGACCACTGCAGGAACTGTAGGAAGCCTGAGCAAGGCTTAAAAAAGCTGCATTTATTCCTGATTTGTAAAAGCAACGAGTGGGGATGCTGTAGGGTCCCCTGGGGAGCTGGCAGGGCACAGCTCCGCGTCCGTTCCTGTTCAGCTCTGCCGGCAGCTTTCATGTTCCCACGGCTGCAGAAAGGGCTGTTCTTGCAAGGGTAACTTCGTTACCCTCTCCCAGCCAACACAGCCTATGCTTCTGTCGGTTGTTAGCCAGCCTGCCTCTGATGAGATGGGTACAATTGATGTGTATCAACCAGACTCTAAATTCAAGCTCATAATTCTGTGTGCCTCTGCAGCTGTAGAGATTTGTGTCTACAAAACTATAAACTGGCTGGAGTTGTAGCACACACCACAAAGGTTCCCTTTCTGTGGAGCCTACATCAAGCAATCTTATAATTTTAGGAACAGAAAGGTGGAGACTCAGCTGACTCGGAAGAGGTCCACGCTTGGGATAACAAAGGTTGTTCTTAGTTGGGGTTAAGGTTTATTAGCGGGAATGAAAGGGGTGCAGGCGTGGAGTGACCAGGAGTATCGCCAACCTGAACCGGGCTGGGATTTGCCTGGGTCATGCCTGGCACGAGCTGGTGCCATTCATCTTTTGCTGCAGTGAGCTTTACGAATTAAACTAATGTGTAACTTAGTTACTAATGTGTAACTTACCCCCTTCTTTCAGGGGGGGAGGGATTTTGCCTGGCAAAATGAAATCCAGATCCCCGAGCAGAGCAATGGTGCCATCAAAAGCCCCATTCATTCTGCTCTACGTCCCCTCCGAGCCGCTTGCTCCTTATGGCCGATCCCCTGCCCACTCCCTGGACGCTGTCTCTGTTCGTGTCCCTCTAGCTGGAGCAGAAGCAGAAGGAGGCCCTGGAGCTCCTGGAGCAGAACCGGCACCTGCAGGACCAGCTGAAAGTGGCACTGGGCCGGGAGCAGAGCGCCCGGGAGGGCTACGTGTTGCAGGTAGGGGAGCGGGGAGGAGAGAGAAATCCGTCTTCCTCTGTGCCCGAGGGGGACCCCGGTGGGCTTCAGGCCAGGGTGTTCATGGGGACATCCTGGTTGACGCAGAGATGTGCACCACGAAGTGGGCTCCGAGAGATTTGACCTTCCTGCGAATATTGCTAATTCTGTAGCCTTACCAGGATCCTCTGCTTAACAAAACCTCTGATCTGGGATGCAGTAGACAGAAGATAGCATTACCTACTGGCGTCCCCGAGGGAAAACAAAACACAGCCAATGGTAGACAGAGGGGACCTCAGCAAAGTCCACCTCTGATCCATCCTATACTGTGTTTGCCTGTGCAAACAGTTTGCCAGTGAAACAGCTGTTTCCCCTTGGAAGAGTAACTTACTCCCCTCAGGCAGTGGGGTGCACATAAGGCTCTCTAAGCATCTTGTAGCCCAGCAGTTGCTCCTGGCCAGGGAGTTTGTGTGGCAGTTACATGGGCAAACACAGCACACGCTGGCGTATCTCCCGGGCCCGTTCCCCGCAGCCAGAGCGGGATTTGCACTGGGACGACCTGTGGTCTTGGATCACTTTGGTGGTTTCTTCTGTTAGAAGATGCCTTTCCTCAGCAAAGCCTAGAAGTGTGTTTTGGAGGTTCTGGCAGAAGAGGCGGGAGAGTCTCTTGGGAAGCCTTTCCTCCCCTCCTCCAAACAAAGCGGACTTTTTCCAGCCCTTCCTCTGGGAGTGTCCATGCCCGGAGGAGCCGTGACACCTGCAGGGCAGCTTCTGGCTGCTCTCATGGGCCCGTAGTCCTGTTTTGTGCAGGGGCAGCGTTTTGACCTGTTCAAATCTACTTGGCCAAACTGGGTCTGGATCCAAGTGGCCGTGCGTGGCCGCACGCTGCGCTCCCGTGACAGCAAACCCGGTGTCGATGCTGAACCTTGCATCCTTATTTCTCATGGGAGAAATTTCCCCTGAAGAAGTTGCACAGGCAGTGGAGCCAGCCCAGGTAGGGGGGCCATCTTGCCTTCCTTGCTGGTGATCTCCTTGGAGGAGTTATTAATGCATTTATTTCTGGATTCCCTGAGCGGACAGTGCGTCCATTTTCACTTGGCAGTGTTGGAAGAGTAACTAATTCCCACTACCCTGGGGCGAAGGCATCCGACCTCCCTTTGCCTGGAGCCCGGAAAAATCAGGGAATGGGGCTAAAAGCTGGGTGCTGAATCCACTGTCAGATTGGCCGTGTTGAAGTTGGCCGTAGCGCCTCAATACGAGGAGGCAGGGCAAGAGGGGAAGTCTGCAGAAGGGCTGAGCAAATCATCGCTGCAGCGAGAAGTGACCCAAACTTTGATGTAGAAGTTGGAGAGGGTTTCTGAAAGGGTTGGAGGCTTTTGCTTGCTCCAGTCTAATTGTTCTGGGGATTTCCCTTATGTTTTCCCGGGAGCAGAGGGATTAAAGTCCTGTTGCAGAAGGGAGTAACCCCACCGAACCCTGCTGGGGTGGAGGGAGTGGAATCGCTGGGGGAGGTTCTGCAGCCCCAGACTGCGGGCACACATCACAGCATTTTTTTGGATGGACCCTCTGAATTTCATGTGCCCCCCCACCTCCATCATGCCTAATTTCGGAGAGGTTCCTACGCTGTCTAGGGGGAGGGACGATGGAGGAGCCTGACTGCTGCCAGCCTATCCCTCCTGAGCTGCCCGGGGGGCACCAACCCCTCCTTGGCAGCATGACCAGCCCCGTACGGACCCCCCAAGCACTGCCCCGACATAAAAGATGCTGCAGATTTCGTAAGGAAGCCGCTGGGATCCGCCCCCAGCCCCCCCCCCCCCCCCGGATGCATGGGCCGTCCACTGAAGCCTCTCCCGGCCTCGTTAACCCTTCTCTCGCTCTGAGCTTCCTCGGGATGGGGCACCCCCACTTTGAACCCTACCGGGAGAAACGGCGGGGGGCCCGGCCCCTCCCAAACGGGCTGGAGACGTTCCCCGGCTCCGGTCATGGCGGGCGGGAGGGGTCACGTACTAACCTGTCCCGGGCAAATGTTCTTGCATGTTTTTGGTGTAAAGCATGAAATTTGACTTAACATAACTGAGTGTCACATCTGTGGGCTTTCCTTATCAGCAACCAGAGTACAGCAGGGCAGGCCAAATTCCTAGGCTTAACGCTGTGCTTCTCTTGCCTCTTCCTGTCTGTGTATTTTTTTTTAAAGATACATAATTTCTGTCGCCTTTTGCATGACTCTCTCTGTGAGTTTTCTCTTTGCATGCTACATTGCTTTGGTTTGAATCTCACAAAGGTTGGTTTCTTTTATTTTACATTCTCATCACACCTTTTCCCTCCCTTCACTTGTCGGGCTTTTTATTTTGTCCTTTGTTGGGTTTTTTTTGCAGGTAGAGAAATTAGATCCTCCCTAGTCTTAAACTTTAGCATAACAACTTCTCTTTAATGCAATGAGCAGCCGCTAAGTCCTGTTTGGCAGGCACAGAAATGACATCGCCACGCCGGCTGTCCTGTCTCCCTGCGTTTGGGTGGGATGTGATGTCATTTGCTGTCACCTCACTTTCTGTTGTTGCTTTTGGTCGGTAGGACTGTGTTACCTGAACTGTGCACTTTTTGTTTCACAACAAAATGAACAAACGCGCTAAAAAAGCAGTTCCTTTCTTCTCGATCTGTTCCCATCCCCTCCTCCTTCTCACCCTTCCCGTTTTTCTCTCGTCTGTCGTCTCTGTTTTACTGCTGGTGTTTCTTTTTCATTTTTTTTGGTTCTATTTGATTTTGGGTTTGTTTTTTTTTTTCCTTTTAGCCTGTTACTGTACAGCTGTTTTGATGTTGTGGTCCATGTTTTCTGTTACTGAAAAGCAGTTGTCGCTCATTTAAAAAAAAAAAAAAAAAGTTGGTTAAAACAAAAAAAAATTGTGCCAAGAACAAATCATCCCAATTGGAGCATGTGGGTAGCAGCCAAATCACTGCGAGGAGCTTTTCCGTGGCCTGCCTGGCCAGAGGTGTGACACTCAGAAGGGAGAGCCAAGAGTGTTACTAATCTAGTATTTAATCAATTTTTTTAAGACCGAGGTGGCCGCCTCGCCATCAGGTGCCTGGCAGAGGCTCCACAAAGTCAACCAAGACCTCCAAAGCGAGCTGGAAGCCCAATGCCAGCGTCAAGAGCTGATCAATCAGCAGATTCAGTCGCTGAAGCGCAGCTACGCCGAGGCCAAGGACGTGATCCGGCACCACGAAGCCGAGATTCAGAGCCTGCAGGCGAGGCTCAGTAACGCGGCGGCCGAGCTCTCCATCAAGGAGCAGACCCTGGCCAAGCTCAAGAGCGACCTGAGGATCGAAAAAGAGAAAGCCAAAGAGCAGCTGGAGGAGTGGCAGCACGGCGAGGCCACGCTCAGCTCCCAGCTGAAGGCCAGCGAGCAGAAGCTGAAGAGCGCGGAGGCTCTGCTCCTGGAGAAGACCCAGGAGCTGCGGGACCTGGAGATGCAGCAGGCTTTGCAGAGGGACCATCAGAAGGAGGTGCAGCGGCTCCAAGACAGGATCGCAGACCTGAGCAGGCAGCTAAACGCTAGCGAGCAAGCGCGGATCCTCATGGAGGAGAAGCTGCAGAAGAATTACGAGGCTTTGCTGGAGAGCTGCGAGAGGGAAAAGCAGGTTTTAATACGAAGTCTGAAGGAGGTGGAGGATAAGGCCAACGAGTATGAGAACCAGCTGCAAAATAACGAGCAGCAAATGGAGATTCTGCAGAAGGAGAAGCTGAGTGCAAAGTTCGAAGGCAGCGAGCTTGTCCACCAGCTGGAGGAGCAGCTGGTGATGAAGGAGGCCAGCATCCAGAAACTCGCAGAGCACATCAAGGAGCTCGAAAGAGAGAGAGATCAGATCAAATGTCGGTTCCACGAGCTCATGAATCAGGTTGCCGAGTCGGATAACGAAGTTGCAAAGCTGCAAGCAAAGTTGAAAATGGAAGAGACCAACTACCACAATCTGGAGCAATCGTTCGAGGAGGTGTCGGATCAGTTCCAGGGCGTGCAGAAGGTGCTGAAAGAAAAAGAAGAGGAGCTGAGACAGGTTAAGGAAATGCACTTGAGAATTGTGGAGAAGAAAGACCAAGATCTCAGTGAGGCTTTGGTTAAAATGGTTGCTTTAGATAGCAGTTTAGAGGAGACTAAAGTAAAGCTAAAGGCCAAGGAGGAGGCTTTAAAGAAATTAGCTGGTATAGGCACAGCTCCATGTGCTGAGGAGACAGAAGACCTTGGCCCCAGCCTTGAGGCTGACGAAAGTCATCTATCCCAACTGGGGCAGCCTCTGCAAACTCAGGATGTCCTCCCAGCTCTGACTTACGCACTGAAGGAGGAGGAGGAGGAGGAGGAGGAGGAGGTTCTTGAGACCAGCCAGAGGCAAGTGGAGGAATTCGGCTCCCCGTCCAAAGCTGTAGAGCTCCAGGACCAAGAGTTAGTTCAGAAAGCCTTAGCAAAGCCTGATGTAGGAATCTTGGGGGCCAAGAGGCAAAGAATCCGTTTCTCGAGCATCCAGTGCCAAAAATACATCCATCCAGATGGATCGGAGAAGAACTGGACAAGCAGTACCTCTTCAGACACGAGCCAAGACAGATCGCTGTCTGAAGAAAGCATGTCATCAGAGCCAGCTCTTGGTTACCCATCATCAGGGACAAGCGACTCTGAGACCTATCTCTCAATCATCCATTCCCTGGAAACCAAACTTTATATTACAGAGGAAAAACTCAAAGATGTAACGATGAGGCTTGAAAGCCAGCACGGCCATAATCAGGAGACGCTCGTCGCCCTCCACCATCAGTGGGCCAGCACAGAGTCTCAGCTGCGGGAACAACTTCAGACCAGCTTGTCCCAAGTCAGTGCTTTGATCTCACAGCTGGAGAGTGAGAGGCAGGAAAAGTTCAAGCTCATAGAAAATCACGTTAGCGAGCTGGGAGGTTTCCAAATGAAAAATGATCAAGCGCTGACTTGCTTAGAGAAGTGCAGGGAGCAACTAAGATCTTTGCCCAAATCAGACAAGGAAAAAGAGGGCGATTTGTTCCTTGTTACTCTGTCCAGCATGGAAACGACCTTATCAAACGCAATCCAAGCTTTGAGAGGGGCGCCAGTCCCATCGGAGTGTCAGCAGAGTGAAAGCCTTATCACGGAAAGCCCCGCTCCAGAAGGAGGTTTTTTGGGAGAAGAGGAGCACGTCTCCGAGGAGCAGCGAGCGGAAATGTTTGACGCCGGCCAGCTGAGATGGCTTTCTGAGAGAGTGGCATTTGAGGCCTCTCTCATCAACCAAATAGCGGAGTCTCTGAAAAATGCAAGCTCTGAGATATCTCAGCTTCTGAGAGAGATCCAGGGAACGGCTGAGGTGGTTTTGTTGGAGCCGGCAAATGTTTCTCACACAGCAGTCGACTTGGCCAGCGTCCTATCTAAAAAGCTGCTGCTGGAAGGGGAGTTCTGGAGCCAGGTGGAGGAGCTGAGAGTGCACTTGAGCACCAGAGAAGGAGAAGCCGAGGGCAAAACAGAAACAACAGGTTTGGGCTTTTCTCCATGTTTTCACAGTGCTGTAGCAGATGCTACGTTGATCAAGGCAGAACTTGGGTTTGTTGCACAGAAAATGAGAGAATCTTTTCATCAGAGATTAAAAACAATTGAAGAAGACCTCCACAATACCAAAACAGCTCTCCAGCAGCATAAATGCATGTTGGAGGAGATCATCAAAGCATACAGGACTCCTGATTTTGACAGAGTTATGCACCAGATTTCTGAAGCACTTGAAATTCAAAAAGATGCTTCAGAAAGAACCCAAATCTCCTGGGATGGGAGCCGTCTCCAAATGGTGCCGTGTCAGGAATTAGCCAAGGCGGAGGAGATTGGCAGCCTGCTGGACCATAGTAGTGAAGCTCTTGTTTCCATTCAGGAAGATCTTGCCCAACAACTAAAGGACAAATCAAATGTTCTGAAGGAAATATCTGTTGCCTTACTCTCTCTGCCTCCTGAGGAGGCAATGAGAGACTGTCAGAAGCTCCTGAAAATATCTCAGAGTCTTTCATATCATTCGTGCATGGGAGACCTTGAACGGTATTCCTCTTTGTTAGTCCAGGATGCAATTGTTCAGGCTCAGGTTTGTTACGCTGCTTGCAAAGTCCGACTGGAGTACGAGAGAGAGCTGAAGTCCTACAAGGAGTCCTTGCAGAGCATGGACGCGCTCTGCCAAGAGCGCGTCAAGACGGTCTCTCTCCTTCGGGACGAGTACGAAGACTTGCTTAGAAAGCAGCAGGGTGAGTATGGCGAGGTGATCGCCATGCTCGAACGGGAGAACGCCGATCTCAAAGCAAAGGTGTCCCAGCTTGACAGTCAGCGAAGGCTCTTGGAGGAAGAAGAGCATAAACACAGCAAGAGTTTGAGCGAATTGCAGGGACGGTATGAGGAGGAGATTCGAAATGTGATAGAGCAGCTAAACAGGACAGAGGATGCTCTGAAGGCCGAGAGGTCGGAGGGCCTCAACCAGCTGGATGCCATCGTCCGTGACAAGCAGAACATGGAGCGGTATCACCTGGAGCAGATGCAAATGCTGGAGGACAAGTTCCAGGCCAAGATCAAGGAGCTGCAGGTCATCCACGGCGAGGAGCTGCAGGCGTTGCAGGAGCACTACAGCCAGAACCTGCAGCGCCTGCAGGAGACCCTGGACGAGTACCAGAGGCAGCACCCGGAGCCGTCCCCCGCGGCGGGCCCAGGCGGTGGGGACGCCTGGGCGGCCGGTGAGGCGGGTGGCACCGGGCAGGGCCCTAGCAGTGACCTGGACTCCATGCACGGCCTGAGGGAGCGCATCCAGGAGCTGGAGGCCCAGATGAACGTCATGAGGGATGAGCTGGAGAACAAGCATCTGGAGGGGAACGCTTCCACCTTGAGGGAAAAATACCAGAAAGACTTTGAAAACTTAAAGGTCTTGATACGTTTTAATGCTTTACGCTTTCGGCTGCTGAGTGTACGGGAGGGTGCGTTCGGTCCCAAGGTTCGCTTGCCGAACCGAGGGGTGTCCCCCAAAAGAGTCAGCACGCCAAAGCAAGCCCCAAAGTGTTAGAAAGGCCTCTGTAAAGCATGGCATTTCCCTTTTCTCCATGCTGGGTTATTCTAAATGCATTGCTGAGGGCTTGGTCTCAGCGGGAGGGTTGACTATTGGAGGCGGTCTCTGCGTGTAGAGGGAGGGAAGGTTTCGAAGTAGCTTGATAACTTCATGTTATCCTTCAATATGAAGACCGTAGTGTTTCTCTTCGTACCTGAGGCGTACGTTTTGTTCGTGACTTCCCTTTAAAAGCATTCCTCAGCTCTTGTCTTGCCCAGTCTGATCAAATCTCCAGTCTGTCTCTGCTGCCCTCAAAAATGTAAGACGAAATGGAAACTTAATGCTCTCAAAATGTATGTTCCTGGGGAAAGTAGCTGCAAACGGATGCCAAATTCTGTAGCAAAGCAAAGTTCCTCTGCTTTTTTGAGAGGCTGCAAGAAGAACTACCCTGGTGTTGCACACCAGTGATTCTTTACACAACAAACAGTGCACAGTTACGGGAAACCCAGGGTAGGTGCAGAAAAGCCCAGTGGCAATGAAGTGCCTGCGTTCAGTTTGCTCCACCAGTCAGGACTGGCTGTAAAACTAGCCTGAGATGGTACGGCGTCTAAAAAAAAAACTCTTGGGTTTCATGTTTTGCTTTTGATGGGAGAGCATTTCCAGTTAGGACGTGGGTTTAGGGCAGCGGAGGACTCCCAGCAGCACCCAGGGAGGCTTCCAGGTTGAACAGGCAGCCGAAAGGGCAGCGATGCAGGCTGCACGCAGAGGCCATGCCGGCGGGGCTTTCATGGAGCAGCCGTTCTTCAGAGTCGGCAAAAATGTGGGAGAGCTTGCTTCCAGCCGTGAGATCTTCAGCGCACGTCTGAGCTGGGAGTAAAGCATGGCTCAACTCTAGCCAAAAGCTGGTTTTAGCCTGGGGGGAGCAGTAGTTCCGCTGCATCCTACCAGGGGTGAATCGGATGTCCAGGGGAGGGAGAGCTGCTGGGGAGATGGGAGGGAAGCGGTGCTGTTCACTGAACGCTATCTCCTCCATCTTAACCCTTAGGAAGGAAAAACCCTTCATGAACCCCCCGCTCAGGTCACACAGGTAACGCCTTGTCTGGCGAGCCAGACACCAAACAGGGTCGCTTGTACCGGGGGATGTTCTTGCTTTGGAAGAAGCAAAAAGGCCAGAACCAAAATAGAGGCTGAAAAATAACAGCAAGCAATGAACCTGACCTCCCACCTCTGTTTTCAGCTTTGCTCTGCCAAACTTGCAGTTTGCCTGGCAGGAAGGCAAGCAGCAGCATCCTCTGGGCAGAGCGGTCCAGGAGCAGAGCAGAGCGAACCGGCCTCTCTCTGCACCACTGTAGGAAGCAGAGGGACAGACAGCAAAATAGAAACTTCCCTCGGTTAGAAAGCTAACCAGGCGATTGCAAACCTGTCCGATTTACAGATTAAAATGTGCTCGATTCTTCTCTTCTGAAGCTGATGGAGAATGTAACATCAGTAACGCGAGGTACTGGTTTGTACATGCTCAAATGTCCTAGATTTATAGCAATGCATTTACAACACATTAAATACTGAATCTGCAGCCAGACCTATGGAGGAGCAGTCACCGTTTTCCTCCAGCATTAGAGGCGTAATGAAGAATCCTGCAAGGCTGCTTCGTGCCTCTCCATAGTCAGCCAAGTCCCGACAGGTTCTGGCGCTGAGTTATGAGTTTCAAAAAAAAAAAAAAAAAAAGCTGAGAAAATGAAGAATGCCTCAGGATTCAAACTTAAAGGGGAGGAATAAAAGCACCAGAGCTGAAAATTGGGAATGAGAGCGGCACAGGTTACAGAGCATTAGACAACGAAGTGGGGGGTAGATTTAGACTAGATATAAGGAAGAAATGTTTTACGCTGAGGGTGGTGAAGCACTGGCCCAGGTTGCCCAGAGAGGTGGTGGATGCCCCATCCCTGGAAACATTCCAGGTCAGGTTGGACGGGGCTCGGAGCAACCTGATCTAGTTGAAGCTGTCCCTGCCCACGGCAGGGGGGTTGGACTAGATGGCCTTTAGAGGTCCCTTCCAACCCAAACCATTCTGTGATTCTATGATTCTGTGATGCTGAAGAGTGTATGTTAGTGTAAGTCAGTGGGTGTTAGACTGTCATGAGCACTTTTGTCACTGGGGGAGTGAATTTATCCCCTTTAAATTTCCCATGGAGTCCCAGTGGCTCCCCGGGTGATAGTTCTCGCTTCCTGTGGAAAACATGAGTGTGAATCAAGAAGAAATCTGTTGCAATCAGGAAACTGCAAATCAGCCTGTAACGTTAAGAGGGAGAAAAGCCCGGCGCAGCGCTTGGCATCAGGGTTGCCCCCAGATGTCTGATGGGGCTTGTGCACCTCATCCCCGGTGCGTTCCCCTTCCCAGCTTGTTGCCCCCGCCCGCCCGTGGCGTTCTGCCTCTGTCCTGCAGCCGTGTGTCTGCCCACGATCCCGATACGCTTGGCGGGGCAGCCGGGCTGGCGGCTGAACTGGAAACAGGCTTTTGCATTTGTTGCAGAGGCAGGAGCGGGGTCTGTGCCTGGGGCAGGACCGGGTTGGAATTCAGGATCTCGCAGCTGGTGACTCCTGAATCCCCAGAGCGCTGCTCCCATGTCCTGGCCTAAGCTCACTCCTAGTAATTCAATTAGCAAATAATCGCCCGTGCAGCATTTGAAGCGATACTTGGTTGGGAATTAAGGTTCTGTTGCTGTCACGAGTCATTTGTTTTCCACCCCAGAGGTGGCCACATAAAATCAGGCATTGCAAAAGAGAGCAGAAGGGGCACAGTAGGCTTTTTGTGGTTGTTTTTAACATATATTTGCATTCCCCAATCTGGTCTGACCCCAGACCTACCCTGTCCTTCCCTTCCACCGGAGCTGTCAGGGGTCGAGCGACTGCAGGACAAGCTCCGACCTCGCAAGGTCCATCCTCGGCCGGCTCCTCCATGGTTGGGGAGGGAGAAGATCCCCATGATGGAACTTGGGTGCCGACCTACCCGCTGGTGTGCGGCTCCCGGCAGGCTCACCACCGCTGTGATGCCGGCCCCGCGCTCCCGGGTCAACCCCTTCCCCTCGTCCCTTTTGCAGGCAACATGTGAAAGGGGCTTTGCAGCCATGGAGGAGACACACCAGAAGAAGATCGAGGACCTGCAGCGGCAGCACCAGCGGGAGCTGGAGAAGCTGCGGGAGGAGAAAGACCGCCTGCTGGCAGAAGAAACGGCTGCCACCATTTCGGGTATGAGGACACGACAGAGGGTCCCCCGTGGTGGGGCAGGTCCCGGGTGGTGGGGGGACCGGGGGGGGGGGTCCCCCGTGGTGGGGCAGCTCCGTGTTGATGGGGACACGGGGATGGCGTTTGCTCCGGTGCGGAGGAGCAGAGCGTGGGGTGGGATGAGGGCTGGGTGCGGATCGCAGGGAGACGGGGAGAAGCTGGTGGGACATACGTTTTGGATGGAGGCCCATCTGCTGGTCCTTCTCCAGGCTTGGTGCCCCTCTCCTTGGCTGAAACATGGTCTGATCTGCTTTCCGTTCCATCTCAGAAAGGTGTTAGTCATTCCTGTGGTTAATGTACTGCCAATTCCACACTGAATTCATTCGTCAGTGCCCCAGGGAGTTTTAAAGCGCTGGAGCCCAGGGTCTCTGCGTTAGAAGTCCCACAATCCAGGAAACAACATGTGAATTGCACAATCGTTTGGACTTCATTAAAAAGTGGGATTTGCAGAGCCCCTTTGCTGCTTTGCAGCCAGGGGCACAGACTGAGGGGGCCGCGAAGCAGTGGGAGGTGTGCTGGGAGGACTCAGGTTTTGTTCCTTTAAAAATCAAACAAACAAAAACTCAAAAAAAAATGCCCTTGGGTGGAGCGGTGCTGGGTGGTAACGCTGTGCTGTCCCACGCAGCCATCGAAGCCATGAAGAACGCACACCGGGAGGAGCTGGAGCGAGAGCTGGAGAAGTCCCAGCGCTCCCAGATCAGCAGTGTCAATGCCGACATCGAGGCCCTCCGAAGGCAATACCTGTAAGACCCATCGTCATCCTCCGTCTGTCGCTATGTCTCGCAGGGAGATCACGCGTGTGGGAGACCCCTTTCTCCTCTTTGATTTCAGCAATGAGTTAGGGGCAGACCTGTCGTCGCAGGGACCCCTTTCCTTGGTCCCGACCCCACCGTGCCCATCGGAGGCTCTTGGTTGCCTGTAATCTTTCAGGCTCCAGGTCAATGTCCCCACGCTACGCAAATTCAGCTGCTTTATGGTCACCAGAAGTAGCAGATGTGCGGACACGGTGCTGCTTTTCATGCAGCTGCAGCGGGAGGGTTGCTCAACCAAATCTAACCGGGCAAGGAGAAAGCACTTAGCTTTTCGTGGCAAGGCTGTCCTCGCGTGGGAGCTGAGCAAAACAGCCAAGCAGCTTTATTAACCTTGATGCATCTACGTAAGCCCTGTGTGGGTGTCCAAATGCACCCAGTCCCAAGTCCTCGGAGCAAACTTGATAGATCTTAGCTCAATTTTGGAAACTTGAGAAAGACCAGCCATTTAATCTCCTAGAGAAAGACTTCCATCCCTTTTGGTGCCCAAGCACTGTAGTGCCAGGAGGAGGAAGGGTTGCCTCCCTCTGGGCTTGAGATTTTTCTCAAAGGGAGTATGCAAGTCCTCCTCCTCAGTGCTTTGATCCCTGTTGGAATGTCCTGGGTCGGCACAGGGCGCCGGAGGAAGGGCGGGCACGGGTGGGTATGTGTGGGGAGGGCACTACCCGGTGTGTGTTTCGCCAGGGAGGAGCTGCAGTCGGTGCAGCGGGAGCTGGAGGTGCTTTCGGAGCAGTATTCGCAGAAGTGTTTGGAGAACGCCCACCTGGCGCAGGCGCTGGAGGCTGAGAGGCAGGCCCTCCGCCAGTGCCAGCGGGAGAACCAGGAGCTCAACGCCCACAACCAGGTGAGGGCCCCCGCCGTGCCCGGGGCAGCCGGGGCAGGCAGGGGGGGAGGGACGCACCACCCCGCGGGCGGG